TGTGCTGTGGGGAAGAAGCAGCTGCAGCAGTCAGAGAGCTTCAGCTCATTCTTCAAACACTTGGGAGCAGCCAGGCAGTCATGGCAGGTACAGAAGGGGGAAGGGCATGTTCCGCTGTCAACAGTGATTCTCTGCATTTGCAGGAGTTTTGCAGTTCTGGTTATTTTGCTCTGTGGTTGCTTATAACGCCATAGCCTTTTCTAGCTGTTGTTTTTACAGTCCTCAGAGCCTTTCCTAATGTCTGCTGTGCTTCAGGTGTCCTTACGGGCCTGCCTTCCTCTGCAGAGATTTGCAGCGCTAGATTTTATATTGCCTCCCACAATAATTTTACAGGATAAACCTAGGCAGGAAGGAGTGTCCCCAGGGTTCTTGTGGTGTTTCTCTCTGTCTGTCCTCGTCTTGCTTGCCCCACAGTGCTGCAGCACAGAAGATCTGTAGTAAGGATTAGTTGTAGAATATGGAAGTTATGGAACAAAGCAGTGGGAGCATGGACTGTCTTCGAAGCTGTGTGTCAGGTCTTAGCTAGTCATAAAATCGGTGTAGGCAGTAAATTTGTGCTGGTGTCATGGATGAGATGGAGTAAACGACAGTGCATTGCAGACATGGGTGCTGGGATTAATTTACAAACCAATGAGACTGCAGCTTTTACCCTGCTTGATCATTTCACACACTCACTCTGTCTCATTTCCCTCTAGCATTATGTTCACTAGGGCTCAATTTCTCTTCCCACCAGGGAGATCACTGCTGGTGTGAGAAGGTGTGCCAGAATGTTGTGGTGGTTCGTGCTGTGCAGCAGGCTTGCAGATCCCAGTCTCAGGTGTTAGAGGCTGAGGTCTCTAGGCAGCACATGACATTTGTCTTCATGCATCTCTCTGATCTTTGGGTTCCTCTCCCACCTCCAGGATCTCTCTAGCCAAGATCACTACTGTCTTTCTGATACCACTTCCTCTTTCGGGAACCCTTGCTTTTGACACCAGCTCTTCTTTCCGGGACCCTAAGGCCCCAGTTTTCCCAATAGTTGATGTGCAGAAGCACAGTGTGTGATTAGCCTTCTAACTGATGATTCTGTCTCATGTTTCTCTATTAATTGGAGGATTTAGGTCATGCCATTTTTGCTGAGGCCTGATGCTACCAAAATTTACAACCAGCCCATGGTTACAGCTAGCGAATAGCAGACTTATTGAGAGTTTAAAAGTACAGTTTTGGGCATTCATCCCCTCCATGCATACACCCAGTTATGAGCTACCTATTAGTGTTCGCAATGTAAGCTATGTTTTTGCCTGTGACAGTTGGTCTCACTGTTCTGGCAACAAATTCAGTCCATGGTATAGGTGGATGAATCTCCTAGAGATCTGAGTCAGAGTGGTCCATGTATCATCCAATAAATGGGATCCAATTAATGTTGGCTAGTGATGCAGATGTAATTTAATGTAGGGGGAAGTAATTGCTAGGCATTATCTGTGTCTCTGAATCATTTCTCACACTAGTGTTACTTGTGTCAAATGGGGCACAGTTGCTAATATTAAGCAGCCAGTTTGCGTGCTTCTTCAGAGGCCTTTGTGGACATACTTACATGCTGCCATTTATCACTGCTGAATTTGACCCTAAGATTGCCATTGGAATTGCACTATGATATCTTTTATTGCAGTGAGATTTCTGACTTCAGAGGAGAATTCCAGTGTTGGGAATGTTTTTCCTCCAGTAGAGTTGGCTTTGAAAGTGTTTGGATTTTGTTTTTTTAAATGTGGTGGTTTTAGAAGCTTTCTACTGTGGTTTTCCTTCATCATAGTTACTTTCTTTCAAATAAGGGCTTTATATTCTTGTATTTTACCATCATTCTACTCGTGTGTTAAGTGGAGACAAGTGCCCAGTTTTATCAGGTGTTATTTCATTAACAACAAGCAGATGAAAAGATGATTTCATTGCAAAATGAAAGGAAAAGAAGCTAGGCCTAATGTGGGCTTAAAGGAAAAAAGGTTTTTTAAGACCGTCTGGGGCCTGGCTCTCCTTTCACTTACGCCTGATTAACTTCATTGTCTTGTCACATGGACACCTACATCCAAGCAGAAGCAGGTCATGTCTCAAAATGAAGCAAGGGCAGGACAAGACTATGCCTCTTTTGGAACAATGCTCATTTCATCCCAAAGAGGCAGCACATGCAAAGCACTTTTCTTGAAAGAGATGTTGGGTCATTCCAGCACCTTTGTCCTTCATTTGCATGTCTGGCAAGACTCTATGAAGACAGAGGAAATTGGTGCGCTATCATCCAGCTTACTTTCACAAAGTGCACCAAGACCTCTCTAGTCAATTTACATCTATTGACCAGAATGGATGCTGAAGCAGTAGATGTCTTCACAGGTTTAACTCTGAGCTATTTTGCGCTCTCTTTAATAATGCTACAGTATCTAAAAAGTAGGTGTTTATTTCTTTTTATCTGTATTTGAAATTTAAAAAAAAAAAAAAACAACAAAAAACCACGAAAAAGCAAACAGGAAGGCTACAGATGTTCACTGTGCAATATGGGAAAAACAATGTTTCTTTTAAGTACAACGTCTCCTGTTTGTTTATTCCCACCAGTTGAATAGCTGTGGCAAGCCTTTTCCTCTCAGAAGGGATGTCTTCAGAGGGACAAAACTTAGAAAGATACGAGTTACTTGTGGTTGAGTCATTAAAGATCTCTAAAGACATTATTCCATTGGACTAAAAGTGCAGGATGCTTTTTTATGTATAACTTTGTATTCAGTTTCAATTTTTGGCAGCCAGGGAAATTTGGGGCAGGGGGCAGATTGCAGTTTCCTGAAGGAGAGGAAGAAAATTACAAAAAAAATCCACTACTTCTCACATTTTGTCCCTGAGCTGTAAATTTCCAAGAACACCTTAGTAAATCTGTTCAACATAACTGTAAGTTCTTGTGTTCTATGCTAGGGTAGTATATATCCATCAAATTGTAATTCCAAAAGGTATTTTTATGCTGTTTTTAGAGGAATGGAAGCTCACAATCCACCACTTTAAATTGCTTATGTAATTCTGCCCTTTATTTAAGAGCTGTGAATCAGAAGCTTTTTTCACTATATAGCTTAGAGGATCTGTGCTGCACTGCACCATGTAGTTTCCTCTGAGAGGAATTATGAGCAGCGATTTTTTAAAAAAGGTAGTATTCTCAGAAAATTTTGAATGATTGGAGGCAGAGTCTTCAGATGGAATCACAAACAGAATGCTATGATGAGGTAGTTGTTTCTCCTTTCTGCACATATGGAAGTCTGCTATTAATGCTCTACATAAAACATGCAGTTCGTTAATGCATTACAAGGTTTTCAGACTATTCTGTTGATGAAGCCTCCTTTTTCAGAGGGTCAGCTGAGAGTGGATGCCAACGTTTCTGTGCATCACCCTGGAGAGCCTTATGGCGTGAGGACTGAAGTGAAGAATATCAATAGTGTACGGTTCCTGGCAAAAGCAGTAGGTAAATGGTGGTTGCTTCATTACAGGAGCATTGTAGATACTTTATGTGGTATGAAATGAAATATGTCAGACTCCTGAGTGCAGTAATTGGCCTTAAATGCCCTAAGTAGTTTAATCTGGGCGTCCTATCCACGCACCTTGCCCATGGGTCTGGAAGTCCCATTTAAGCTCAGGCTGAGGCCTGTATTGTAGTCTTGTTCCCAGTCCTCTCTCTGGACTTACCTCCTGCTGCTTCTGACTGAACTCCCTGGATGGGACCCTAGATCCAACTCAACCCCTCACCTTGACTTGAGAGAGTCCGTGGAGCCTGTTAATAGCACATGCTTCTCCCCATGCTGTTCCGACCAGTGGGACTGCACCGGGCAGTGAGGGCACTGCGTGTGCTGTGGTTTCCCTCAGCTCCTGGCTTGTCCCTGCTTTGTGGAGCAGCCCCACTCTTGCTGCTCCCTGACAGAATAAATCTTAGTATGGGGTACTATAGGCATAGCAGCCGTGGCGTTCTGCATTTTTCTTGTAGACGTAACCCTCTGCCTGCAAGAAGAATAAAGCAGATGATTCAGTGCTGAGCGTGTTTAGTACTGAAATATGTTAGCAGTAGCTGTGTCCTCCAGTGTAGATGATTGCTTTCCACTGAGTGCGGTAGGTGGTGTGTGCGAGGTTCAGATGCAGCTTGGATGTGAGTGAGAAGGGATGATTATTACATCTTTGAAAGAGAACTCACCTGGGTGATAGGAAGGTCACTAGGAATGTATGGCTTGGCTGCAGTGCCTGGGAGAAAATGTTTTCTATTTAAAGGGAATGAAAGAAGATGAGGAAAACACTCAAAGAAAGAAGCAGTGCTGGGAAGAGAGACAGTGATGGATAATTCTGCCTGTAACTGCTGCTGTTTATTTCATTAAGGTTAAAACAACAAACTATTTCCAGTATTGCATAGCAGTGAAAAATGAAATAGTGGAGTGTACAAAAGCTAATAGTGCAGTATAACGAGCTTATTCTGTTTTCTTTTGTTTCTGTCAGACTATGAAATACAGAGGCAAATTGAAGAACTCGAAAATGGAGGAACCATTCTGAATGAAACAAGAGCCTTTGATTCCAAGCTCGGGTGAGTTTTTATTTTGAAGGAACATCAGGAGTAGCAGCTTTAGTGTGCCAGGGATACCTAGTGACATGACCAGGAGAGGTAACGTATTGCTCAACTTCTGTCTTCTAAAGCTAATGTTCGCAAGCGTAGTCTCCTCACAGGTAGTAATTTATTCTTGAAGTCGAGGCTTTTTCACAACAGATTGCATGCTGCATGAAGCAGTGTCTGTGTGAAAATGACACCCTCTTACATACACATGCTCTTTGAAGCGGCCTTAAGAAGCTCTCTTGATCTTCATGAGGCAAAGTTTTTGTTTTGTGTTTTTGCCATAGAGCTAATTCTGTCGTGTACCACTTGCCACATCTTACTTGTTTCGTTTTTTGGTTTTAGGTGCACTGTGCCAATGAGAGACAAAGAAGGAAAACAGGATTATCGGTATTTTATTTTATTTCTTAACAAAGTTAACATATCAAGAACTAAGAATTTATTTCATTCCTTAAGTGTAGTCAGTGTAATGTGCATATAAAGTTAGTAGCATAGCGAATATGTATTGGAAGTTTACTTTCCAGTGGAAGGGGAAGAGACCTATCAAAATCAGTGCTAGTCTGAGCAGTTCACATCTAGAACTGTGTCTCATCTCTGCTAAAACCCATAGACCTTTCCCAAAAACTAAGCTGGAGTACCTTAGCTCAAAGTGGATAAGTTGAAGGTTTACTTTGTGACCAGTACACATGTCTTCTTAAGAATGCCAGACATAAAACATAAGAATGTTCTGAGCTAAGCACCACTCCCGCTTTGAGAAAATACTGAGGGAAATGATTTTTCAGTAGCAGGCCCTGCCTCTCCATACTTCAGTGCTGTGATCATAGATCACAATGGCTGTTTGAAAATCATAGCTACTATTGAAAGATGTCAGCCTTCATAGGCAGGTTTCTACCTTAAGATCTTTGTAGACCTAATGAAGATGTTACCTTGCTAAGTACTTCCTGCCTTCCACCAGTGTGAGATGACAGCCACCAAACCATAAACAGCCAGCCAAGGATTTAGCCAGAGAACGAGGGGACAAGGCATGGGTCTTGCTGGGAAGCAGTGCTGCTGGGAACAAGTGCTGGTGCAACGCTGCAAAGCAGCAGCACAGCTGCTTAGTGCCCTAGCATGGGAGATAATCACGGTGGTGTCTGGATGGGATGGGGAAGGGCGATGCAGCTCAGCGATTGCTGATTGCTCTGGGCAGCCCTTCTGCTCTGTGCCTGCCTGCCTTCTCCCCTGGTTAAGGCCATCTTAGTGCTGATCCTCCCAGTAGTTCCTTAGCTTTGCATCCCAGAGACAGTCTTCCTGTTAGTTCCAGAGCTCACTTCTCAGCTGGAGAATTATAGTTCTGCAGGAGAACTTTCAGAGCCTCTTAGCTTTGCATATATGTGTTTCTGTTAGGTCTACATATATTCTACCACTGATCTTACTACTGCAGAGCAAGGATTTTGAAAACATGTCACAAACTTTAAATCTGCTTTTTAAGTTATTGTTTGTAGAAATGCAGCACAAAAGGCAGTGATCCTTTTGTGATTTCCTTATTGTGGTAGGGGCTGACATGGGGCTTATTTAACAAGACTAAGTCGAACAAATGCAAAAGAAAACCGATGAAAACCTAGGCAAAACTGGTGAGTCTGAGATATTTCAAATAAAGACCAGAAAGATTATTACTAAGATTATGATCAGTATTAAACTTTTTCAGATTTTCCTAACTTACTGCTGCATGTTATACATTAAACTTAAAATCTATGTTTAGGCAGATTTCAAATAGAAATTATTATAGTAAATGTAGAGAGTGCCTAATGTCCTTTATTCTGATATTTTTGAACCCCTCATTTGATCATGTAAGAGTGAGGTTTCTGCTTCAATCGCAGTTATTCGATTGGTTTGAATTGGCCTTCTTTTTAAGGGAGCCTTTTGTTCTGTGATGGCATCCTGCTGAGCACAGTAACTTTGCTCTTAGCACAGCATGAGATTTCATCAAGATTTTTGAAGTTAGTCTAGAAAAGGTTACAGCCTGCCCAGATCAGTGTCAATGTGGGTTTTTCCCTGCCATTCCACTCTGGTTTTTATCCAGATCCACAATTCATGCTTCATCAAAAAAAAAGTGTGATTTTTATTTTTTTTTGTTATTATTTTGAGTGCAGAAGTGTTAATTGCCCCTTTTCTATCATTGACTCCTTGACAATCAGTGCAAAAGAAAGAAGATGGAGGTTTTGCAGCAGTTCAGGGACTGATCTCTTACTACTTAACAGTGGTATACCAAGTCATGAATTTTTGATACGTTGTTTAGTTGAAACCGTAATAAAACTTCCAGATAAGTATAAAGTCGTGATATAAATTTTATTCCTTGTTGTTTAGCTTCTGACTGAAAATAATTATAAAAGGAGTTTTTCTTCATTTTTACTAGGTTTATGCCAGAGCCAAACCTTCCTCCATTGATTCTGTATGATGCAAAATCTTTGCCAGCTAATATGAACCATCAGCAAGTGGTAAATATTGATTGGATTCATGAGAGACTTCCTGACCTCCCCAGTGTGAAGAGAGCAAAGCTTGTTGAACGGTATGGGATTCTTCCTGAACACAGCTTCACCTTATTGGTAGGTCTATTGATCAGGTGATAAAATAAGCCTAGAAACTTTGAAGTTGCACAGTTTTTGAAAAGATTTACAAATGTCATATTAACCAGCTGTCAGTTCTCATGGATGTTTTTTAGTTGGAAATATGTCCAATGCATACTTTATACCTTGGAGCCATATTCATAGAATGGTGGGGAAAAGAAACTATACACAGTGTGCCTAGAAGTGTTTCTCATGCAAGGTGCAGTCAAATAACTGTTATTTAATATTGATCTACACATGGATGCACCCGTGACTGACTGCAACAAAGGTACCGCTGACAAATCCTTGTTGGCAAGTGCCTGCTCTTCTTATCTTTGGGTATGGTGCAAGGCTGGGTACGTTGTCAGTATTTAGCAAACTAATAGACATGTTTTCCTGACTCCAGAAGCAAAACCCAAAGTTTAAATCTTTCAGCTTAACGTGCCTGTTGATCCGGCTTCCACGTTCTTTTGAGAAAAAAACAGACTTATTCTTAAGTAAATACACAAAACAGCTCTACAACATCAACTTTGACCTCACAATGCAATGTACCAGAGATAGGTTCAGGAGAGGGGATGAGAAAGAAAAGGATGTGGCAAATATGGATATAAATAAGGAAGTGATAGAAAAATCTCATGACTTCCAAAATTATTCTGAAGGACTTTGAGTTTAAATACATCATCTTCGTTTGCCAGTGATAACTCTATGTGGGGGTTAGTATACCCACCCAAGATGAGACATTTCACGTAGCCAGCTAAGCTAGGACAGTGTCCTGCTTTGGTTACCTCTGTGATTAGTAGAGACAGAAGGAAAAGGGCTTCTATAGAGCAAGATTCAGAGCGGAACCTTAAGTACTTTAAATTGTACTCTGGAGGAGTTCCTTTCCCTTTGACTTTAAATGGAGGGAGAGCAGTGCACCTAACTTAACTACTTAATGTCCCTCCTTCGTGTGTCTGTAATTCAATACACTTGTACAGAAGCTGGTTCTACAGAAAAAAAAAAAAAAGCTGCTTTTTTCTGAAGAAGGCTATTAGGAAAACTGCTTTTGTGGTGGTGCACCATTTTGGTGAGTTGCCGATCTTTTACTGGTTGATGGGCAGGTGAGTCTTAAGTCAAAGTCATGAGACTGCAGTAATAGCATAGAGAGATGTCATTGGTTCTTACCTTTCTATTTCATTATATAAGCTGCAAAATGTTATTTTGCAGTCGGTACTCCTGTCTGTGCATGCATTTTTTCACATCAACATATTTCTCACATATTAAAATAAACAGAGCTCGTAAGGGTAGGTAGGTCCTGAACCTCTTTTTCTGTCTTGTTTTTTCTTCTTCTCCCCCTCTGTGGTGGGTTGACCCTGGCCATCTGCTAACACTGCAGCTGCTTGCTCGTTCCCCTCACCAGTGCAACAGGGGAGAGAATAGGAAGAGCAAAAGCGAGCAAACTTGTGGTTCACAATAAAGACGTTTCACTAAGTGAAGGAAAGAGGAAGGGAAAAACTCAAAAGTGATGCAAATGCAGTCACTCACAACCTCCCACAAATAGACTGCTGGCCAACCAGTCTCCGATCGATGACAAAGGCTACCTCCCCCAAAATCCCCTTCCCTCAGTTTGCCTTGTTGAGCAGAATGTTATATGGCAGGGAATATCCCCTTGGACAATTTGAGTTAGCTGTCCAGGTTGTGTCCCCACTCAGCTCTGTGCTCATCCTCGGCCTGCTTGCTCTGGGGGACAGCAGGAAAAACAGAAAGTACTGCTCAGCAGCAGCCAAAACACCGGTGTGTTGTTAGCACTGCTTTAGTCACAAATCCAAAACACAGCACCCTCTTATGAAAATAAACTCCATCCCAGCCAGACCCAGTACACCCACTCCTTTCACTTGGCATCAACCCACTTCTTGGGCGTTTGAGTTTTGCTAGTATTGATGGCTTCTGCTGTCTGGTTTCTGTCGTCTCTTTCAACTAGCCCTGTGTATTTGCCTCATCAACTCCCCTTTCTTTCCACCTGTTCTCAGAAATCCACTATTGCCTTTGCTTTTTCCCTTTTAACTTTTTTTCCTTTTTGCAACGTGTGAGACAATTAATGAGCTCCAAGCTGAAATTTGGGATTCAGCTTGTAATAAGATAATGCATCCATTTGAATGCATGAAGTGAAGGCGTTCTTCATTGCAGGTCTTCTTTTATTGTGCATTAGAATGTCAGCATGTATACTCTCCATAAAAGTTGCTCGCCTGTTCACTGGGAGACTACTTAACCTTAATTCATCTGCAAACGGTACGTCCGTTGCTGCGTTAAGCTTACATCAGAAGTTGCAGAAGATTGCTGATGGGGCCAGATGCACAAATCTAATGAGCATTCTTTCAGGTTAGAGCGCCCAGGAGTGCTCATTAAATAAATGGCAGTGGTAGAGGGATGACTCTAAAACGCAAAATGGCTGTTCTGCACCAACTTGTTAGAGAAAACATCATACGCCGAAGTTACAATAAAACAATATCATACTTCAGCGTGCCAGTTAGTTTGTGAGCTTTGTTCTCCTGTACAATAGCTGCCTGGACGTCCTGCAGCATGGAGAATCCGAGACTCCTGCTTTGCCTAACTACAAGGTGTGCTGAGATGGAACAAGGGCGTTACCTGTTAATATCCTTATATCTGAGATTTCTTAAGTCTGAACTGCTACATTTTTGACAGTTTTGTACAAATTGCGAAAAAAAAAAGAAGTTTCTGATTTTCTTCATGCAGAACCCTCCTTATTCATAAAGATAGGATTCTTTGAGCCACCTAAGCTCCATGGTATTTTGGTACTCAATTTCTGCGTGCAATTTTTGCTTTGCTGCGTAAACTGGTAGGCTGGCAAATACTTTAGTAGAGAAGCATGCCTGACAACTTTGCCATTTGTGGTATTACAATATTTTTGTCTTGCTTCCTATTGAGTCAAAAAAATAAGATGTATTGGCGTAGACATTAATGTGACATTTTGTTTTCAAAAAGCATGCTAACGTCCAGGGAAGTCTAACCAAAACATAGATCAGTTGTCACAGCATAGCATTAGAAAAAAACGGTCTGATCACTTCCTTTCTCATCTGAATTCCAGGTCTTCTTGTACATTTACTGTTCCTTTGCTTACTCATATAAAAGTGGCAGTTCCGGTTGGGCTTTGGCTTGTTGCTTTGGAGGAACAATTACATTAGTGAATCCTTTGTACAGTCAAAAGTGGGATGCTGTAGAAGTTTTTGACCGTTCTGTTTATGGCATGCCGTCCTCATACACATTGATGTGCAGGTGACTTTATGCTTATTTTTAGAACTTAAAACATCCGTTGGTCGACCCTTGTCCACCGATGTTGTCACGCCAATATAATATTTAATTATATTATCTAAAAATAATTAACTATCAGAAGCTGAAGGAAGAATTTTGAACTTTCTTTGACTGCTCTGCTTGTCTGCTTTAATAGGCTAGATTTTCTGTTTTTTTCCCTGACAATCTTGCACGTTTTTGCAGCAGTTATTACCTCACAGTTAGTTATTGTAGGAGTTGTGATGGTGAAAATGGGAATAAGAAAACAGAAAAAAACATTTTATTTGTTAGCATTGGTGTAGTTTTCTTTTTGAATCGCTTGGGAAACATTATTGGTCTTCAAAAACTTAAGTTTGCATTGCAGACCCAATGTCCCTAAAAATTGTACCCATGGTATTTTGTAAAATAATGTTTTGAACTTCTTTTAAAAGTATCTGGAATCATTCTACCGCTATTTTTTTTGACATCTCAGTACTGTTAAATGATCATTTTAAACCATGTTTAAGAGATTGACATATTAGTATGTCAGAGTTCATGCCAGTGAGACTACAATGAGTAAGTTACAGTGTATTTGGTGTGTAATGGGAGCACCGAGTGGGTCTGGATCGCAAACATGGTGCTGCAATTCCAGATTTCTGGTTTTCCTTCTATGAAGATTAAAATACATTATTCAGAATTAAGGGAGGACAGTCAGTGTTCCTGTAAACCAGCACATTAGAGCATGCAGTGGTTATCAGCTCAGATCTATTGGAAAGGACAGGGCTGTGTCTGTTAGTAGTTAGAGTGAATTTGGCATGTTGAGCAAAACGCAGAAAAAATTGAAGTCAAGATCAAGTAGTACACTATCTAGAAATTGAAGCTAATCAAGTTATGCCTGCATTTCTCTAATATGGCAAGAAAATAAGGAAAATGTTTCATTTCTGTCAGTCATTTTGATGTTTTGATGTTCTGCCATACTCATTTCAGTCTAGCATTGCTGGATTATCCTACTCTTTGGCTACGGAAAATGACAGTCACTTCAAAATCCTAAAACGAAATGCAAAGACATTTGGGGGAATATGTCTGGGTTTATGTGCACGAGTAGTGAGTATGGGGTTCGGTACCTGGTACCATGTGTAAGTCTGTGTCTCTGAGTATTCCTGGGCTTTTCTCCTCTTGCTGCCTGGAAATCATGGGATTAAAATGTGAAGGCTGGGGGTGTGTTTGTCCTTGATTTTCAAAGGTCCGGCAGCAGGGTCGGAGCTGTAGCTCTATCCAGGCTGTCGGTGCCCAGAAATCCGAACGTGCCCACTGCTAGAGACACGCGCTCGGGAGCCTGTACGTGCCGGAAGCGTTGCACGTGCTGCTTCTGAGCCGTGTCGCCTGCGTTCAGCCACGTGGCACCCGCAGACGTTGTGTTCCTGGGCATAATGTAGTAGCTGGGCCTACGTGAGACCTTCCGCAGCGCGTGTAAGGAAACCGGCCCTTACACGTGCTCGCTCCTCCCTACCTCAATTGGACAGGGTGTTTTTGTGGAAGGGAACCCGCTGTTTAAATAATCAGTGTTTGTTTGTGCTAATGAATCCTGAGGTGAATTAGAAAGAGTACAGTATTTAGTAATGCATCGGTTTAGTAATTCCACTTCACACACACAGAGAGTTTTTAATCAAGTTTACTGTACTTTGGTAAACATGTCCTTCCCTTACTGTTTTTTTTTAAAGCCAAATTTGTTTCTCGTAGTCTATTTTAGGCTTAGATTTTACATTATTTGATTACAAAGTAACTGCTAGTTACATTCGTAGGAACACTGGAAAAGAAGGGAATTAGGTCTGTGTGTACTAGGAGGAGTTTAGAAGGTTTACCTTGGTTCACAAAAGACTTCAGTGGCTTTCCTAAGGCTGAGAACTTGGTTTCTTTCCTCATGGTCTCAAGGTAAAGGGGATGAGTCTGATTTTTGTCACACCAGTTTTACAGCACATCAGCCATTAATCTAAGTACATTTTGTTCTGTTTCACAGAACAGAGCAGCATTCTGCAGTCTTCTCAAAAGCCATACGTCATTACCAATGAAAAATGTGGTATCTAGAGCTGTTGTAAGTTTGTATCGTGCAAGTTTTGAGGAGGAAAGTCGGAAATTCTGTATTGCTACGGTGATAAATTGCCTTTAAAAACAAAGGTGTATGATAGTGTTTTGACGGGATGTGTTTTGAGTGGAAAAGTCAGGCTTTGGTGTAGTGTGTAGCTGCACTCTTTTTGCTCAGAAGTGTTCAGAGATCTGGCTGCAGTCAGTATATGCTTGGAACATGCTTTTGCTCTGATGACAGTATACCTAGAATAGCTTCTTGGCTGTCTCTGAACTGTTACCTCTCACAACTCCTGAGAGCTGGCTCGTCCTTCTCTGCATTTATGCCACACACTGCAGAAGTCCAGTGGCACGCTGGATTTGGATTCCTCCTTGAAAGGCTAGGAGCTGCCACTTAATATCTTTTCAGCCTTCAGTAGACCTAATGAGTTCTGTGCTACAGTTAAAGATCCATCAATGCCTTGATGACAAACAGCACAGCATTCAACAGACTGTGCAGTATCTGTTCTTCTAAAAACAATCTCAGATTTCACTTAGGCTATAAATTGAATCCCCTACTGTCATACCTTCTGAGCCTTTAGGGTGCTGTGGAAAAGCTTACATAGCTCCTCTGAAAAAACTAGAAAAATAAAACCTCGCTTCTTGCAGTGTGACCTTTCCATGTGATTGAAGGGTGAATGCAAGCTAAACTTATTTCTTCAATCCAAAATAAATAGAAGTGATTGCAGGATCGAGAGTGAAATATCTGTAGACAGTTTCAAGAAAAATCTCGTCTTGGTAAAAGGTGGCATGACAGCCTGTTAGATGGCAGCATTATATTTTACGTATTTAAAACACATGAGGACATGAGAAAGCTTCTCCCCAAGTGCTAATTTTAGGGAGGAGTTAAGGAAAAGAAGATCACTCCTTTATTGGAAGTTCCATTGAAACAGACAGGCTGGCAGATAAGCTATATGTACCTTATATGTACCTGTTCTAGATGTAACATTGTTTGCTGTTATGTTAATAAAATTACTCCAAAGTCTTGTGACTTTACAGTGAATTCACAAAACTGACTTTACTTTAGGACTGAGTATTGATACTCCAACAAAATTTTATAATTAAACGTGTTTGCACTCTGGTATCTTTTTCAATGCATTCAACTTCTCTTAAGCAGAATGAAGACGGATTAACAGAATTCTTTGAAGATGTGGTGAAACAGACCCAGATGAAGCCGAAGAAAGTGATCGGCTGGATTCTAAATGACCTGCTCAGTTATTTGAAACAACATTCCCTTACAGTAAAGGAAAGGTCAGGCTTCTTGATTACTATAGCGGTGAAACAAAAACGATCCTTTTCTCATGTACCATGAATGGTGTTGTGTTGCTCCAAAGCTTCTGCTGTAGCTATTATCCATGAAGTTTGTTACACTGGACCGTACTGCGTAGGCCTTGATGCTGTTGTGCTGAATGAAGCCAACCAAATACCTTGCAGAGAAGAGGACCAGGTTGTTAAGAGTAGTAATCAGAGTCTGCCTTCTCTGGAAGGTGTCAATGGCAAGGCGTAATCAGGCAATCAATACCAGAGTTGAATATAACGTATCGTGAGGAAAAATACTAGCTTGTCATGCTAAACTGTGTGATGCTTAGGCAAGCAACTGTAGGCTAGGTATATTACTCTACCTTGTTCTCTGAGGTAACTTCTGCCCTCTTTTTCCGTAGCCCAGTTCGTTCTTTTGCCCTGGCTGACCTTCTGAACCTTCTAGAAAAAAAAGAAATTTCTTCTGCAGCAGCAAAGCAGGTATTTGTGATTTTACTGGACTTTGGATCTGTGGCTGCTTACTCCATTCGCATAGCAATTTTATAATCTGTGTGTACCAGTATGTCGGTTACTTTAAAGGAGATTATTTAGAGTGTTGATTAAGGATAAATTTTATATCTGCTATATACATACAATAGACGAAAATGCCTCGTGTTTATAATTTTAGATACATCTGCATATTCAGTGTTAGAAGGGGGCACAAGCCAAAGAGTACATTTAAGCAATGTTAACTGAAGCCAGCTAAATAAATCCTGCTTCTGAATAGACTGGACACTGATCTCAGTTTCACAGTTCAAGTCAGACCTGAGTGAAAGGTCAGTGGGAGCAAATCCATGACTTGCAATTAAGCTGAGAGTATCAGTTGCTAGGTACTAAGGGGGACAGTACTGATGTTATGTTCCCAAGCATTAGCAAGTGGAAAACGATGTAACTCATGTGAATATAGTCACAAAAAGACTTCTGCTTTGGTGTACCCCTAAATCAAAAGTGGGGAGGTTTGGCCTTTCTTTTATCTTTGCTTCTTTGAGCAAAGGCTATCGTGGACCTCTCAAGGTAGTGTTGGTGGTAAAGCTAGTTTCTCCCTCTTTTTAAATCATCTTGCTTAAGACAGTCTGAAAAATTGGCTCTTGATGATTTGTGTCCAAAATTGTGAACTCCTTGTGATGGGTACGGTGACTGCTGTGTCTATAGACAAAATTTGGAAGTTTTTTATGACAGGGAATAATCCGTCATTCACCTTAAATTCTTGCTGGCTCATTTCTGTGAAATACATTGTCTTCTCAAATTAATTATTGTCCTCTAGATAGATAAGTACATTAGATGACGGCTTCTTCTCAGGTGTTCATCAGTGAAACTGTTAATGAAGATATTTAATTTGCAATGAAGGCATTTAACTTGCCGGGTCTGGTTTCATGCTTTTAACACTCTGAAATACTCAGGGCAGGTTTCCATCTTTCTAGCATATATTGATTTAATCTAAGTACAACTTTCGAATAGTACTGAAGTCAGTTCACTTTTTTTTTGCATGATTATAAGCCACGTGTACCTGTTGCAAATGTGGCTCTGTAGCCTACTTGGAGATGCTTAAACTTCCCGGTTTGTTGGTTTGTTTTTTTGAGATGCTTGTGGTTCTTAATTAAGTTGGGCTTGTCGTTGGTCTGCTTCTAGGAGTAGCCAGCTGCATATGACAGGTGTCATAAATAAGGATTTAAGTGCCTGACTTCAGGCATGTGCATTTGGAAAGTTTGGATTGGAAAAGTAAAAGCTTCAAAAAGGAGATAAAGTATTAATAGGAAAAGCGTTGGAATGCAGAGCGGCTCTGTGCCTGCGGGTTTATGGCACACCCATCGGTTTGGTTTCCACATTTGAAAGGGAAACTTCAGAACTCCAGTCTTAACTCTCTGTTTTCTTGTGGAGGTAGAGATGGGGTACTGCTGCTCTTCTATGGGAGTTTCTTGCCTTGTGCTGTATTTGTGTGCCAGCGCTTCTGGCAGGTTATGAAATGTCAAGAATTTCAGAGATGCTTTTCTTGTTTAATTACCTACTCCTTGCAATGTGCATGTTGTCCCCGGTGTTCTGAAATTGGACACAGAGAAATAACAGTACTGCTTGCCATCACTGAGTGATGCTATCAAACTGCAGAAACCTTGCCACATTTAGAAAAGTATTTTGGTTGCCTGGATGTCGGAAGAATAACAAATGTTTATAACAATTCTCAGCAGTAGGCAGAGATTCTGGATGGCCCGAGGGCAGAAAGGGCTATATATACACAACAGCAGATGAATTGCAGCACTTGGGGTGGGGAAGAATGAGCTGCAGTGGAAGAGAGAGATCCAGCAAGAAAAGATGGAAGGGTTCGATGGAGTGAGCGCGCAGACATGCTTACGCATCCGTGCTCGCCGCAGGAAGCTGTTAACAGCTTAAATTTTTTAAGAGTTTGTGTTCGGTCTGTGCTGTATAAGGCACTAAAACACAGGCAGATAAAGGCTGTGAGCACTGATCACACACACGGAGCATTGTGTGGCAGGATGCGAGTGCCAAGGAAAGGGCACGGTGCGCTTACATAATTACCACTTAGGTAATTACAGAGCTCACGCCCAACTTGCCATCAAGTACAGCATCCTGCTCCAGAGGTCTCCGAAGCAGTTTCAGCCTGGTGTGCCTGTGCAAATGGAGCAGCCTCCAGCTCTGCCGCTGTGCAGGGCTGCGGGGCGAGCGCGTCCTGGATCAGGGGACTTGTACAGGCACATGCTGTGGCCACCCCAGAGGTGCCGTTTGGGAGCCCACAGCAGGAGGTGCCGGTGCTGCTCACCCAGGGCCAAAAACAGTGTGGTGGGGACTGTGCCTGAGGTGGGGCCTTGGTCCGCGTTTGCAGGGCTGGCGGCAAGTACAGCTCTGGCATAAGGGGCCTGCCGGTGTGTTCCGGCGTTGTGGGAGGAGGCTGGTTCCTGGGCCAGGGAAGCAGAAACTGGCCCCTGCTGCCAAGAGCCATGCTGGAGCATCTCTGCGTGGACACCCTTGTCACACCGTTCGTAGGGGATCTGTAGCAGGGTATGTCGCAGAGCAGACCCCGGGTCTTGTTTGCTTCTGCAGTTGCATAGGTCACGCACATGGGAGTAACTTCAGCAGACCCACTTGGCACCCCTACTTTAAAGTAGGTAGCAGGAAAATGAGTACAGTACACAAACCTAAACAGAACCATCTGCTTTGACAATTACGGCTACACCATCTGGAGGACTGGACCCAGCCGGCCCCTCACTTTTGTCAGAGGCTGAGGGACAACTGCCAGACACTGAGGCTTCCATCACTGGAAAGGAGAGATGCCCACAGGACTGACTCGGGTGGTACTGCCTGCTGCTTCCCTCCCACCCTTGGCAGCAAATCACTGCGGATAGGGTTTCCAGTTGGAGCGTTCTCAGGCACAGCAGTCAGCTGGCATGTTCACCGGTTGCAAAATGTTTGATATGATGCCCGTGGCAGCCAGACGTGTAAGTCCTGATTAATTCATCTTGACCAATGGTTTGCTGCTCTGCCTGTGTAGGTAGAGACCACACAACATCATTAAAATCTAATCACACTCAGGCAAGAATCAATAGTAGAAACTACTGAGATTTCAGGAATGGAAATGAGGCCTGAGATTCTCATTTTGGCTCTGGAGACTTCATAATTTGATCCTCCTGTTCTGGTGCAGGCAGTTTGTGTAAATGAGTTGAAATCATTTTTTAAACTGCTTTCTTTAGATTCGTACTCCTTGCCAAGTGAAGAAACACATTTTTAAAAGTACATCTTTGACAGGTCTTGGCCACATCTCTTTCTGCTTTCCTATGTACCTGTAAACAAGCAAGGGCCTTGATAACATTGTTGCTCTGCTTTGAAGTGGAGAGCTTGTTACCAAATTGGAAAGTACACATGATGCAGATGTTGCAGGGAAAATCTGGTGCCTTCAAGGTTTCTAATGGGCAAGCTTTTCTCCGTGCCAGGAGATGTTTGGCATAGGAACAGCAGGGAGTCAGAGCTGGATGTCTGACTGTCAAGCTGTCCTGCCCCTGATCTAAGTCAGCCTGATGTATGAGTTGCTTCTGGGTAACTCTGCCATGGTCGGCTGCGTAGGTTTTGTTTGTAGCAGATTTTCTCCTCTTGCAGCCCATGGCATCCTGATTGAATACATACCCAGTCCTAAAAATCACATCTGCCTTTTTCCAGGAGGACAATATGGCTTATTCCAGCCCCTGATTTCTGCAGCACTTCAGACTCTCCAGGGTGTTTTGCTGTGGGCTATGCCAAGCAAAGAGGACAGAGCTCCTTTTGAGGCGTGGTGTACTGTTGTGGTGCCTCAGGAGGCCTTGAGGACAGAAAGCTTCTGCTCAGGGGAGGAGCTCAGGGAAGGAGCGGGATGTGGTTGCCTGGGGTAGCAATGGAGCACAACAAAAAAAGGCAAGTGGCTGCAGACAGGTTGAATCTCTGTATTTCTTCCTGGGGGTATTTCAGGTAACACTGGCATGTTGGTTTTCAAGTACTGCACTAGAAGGAAGATCTTGTAGAAGACATCATACACTGCACTGATTTATTTAGATACAAACATCTGAAAGCTTTACTTACAGCAGTTGTAACTCTCGCTGCTTATCAGGAGCTTTAATATTGTGATTTGCCTTTAACCCTCTTACAGGGAAAAAACAAGGTGTAGCTGCCACAATACAGCTGCATGTCGTTATACTCTGTCAAGGTTCTCCAGCAGAGTGATAAGATCCCATAAAAAGCTTTGGGGTACCGCTGGCAAACAAATCTCCTCTTGGAGGAATTGTGTCAATGCATGGTTCTTAAATACCTGTGGTGGCTACAAAATTGTTTAACTGAAAGTCTTTTGTACCAGAAAATTCTTCATGCTGAAGAAAATTACTGGGGTGGTTAAGATACCATCCCACAAGCTTCATTTTTCCTAAGTTGTCTTGCTGCCCTGCTAATTATTTAACGTGCAGTTTGAATGCCCCTTCTCCTCTCCCCAATCCCAGCCTCTTCTTCGTCCCACAGCGCGTAGTTAATGCTGAAATTTTGACGGGACATCCATTTCCATATCGGTACGCAGCAGTGGCCCAAACATACAATTACATCTTCAGCTCAGGGTGGAGCACAAGCAGCTGTTTTAATAAGGGTTTTCTCTCTCTCCTCCCACAGCTCTGAAATAAGAGCAAAGGGAATACAGAAAATGACTCCTCAAGGAAATTGCTTTTTTATAAATGTTCTGTTCTCTCAAGTTTATTCCAGGGCAATAGCCCTGCTGCAGCGTAGGAAAACACACTGGCATTAACAAGTGATTATCCCAGAGGCCTGGGTTCGTCCAGCATTCCAGTACTCGGAGGTGATGCATCATTGGTGGGCTGGAGCTGCTGCATTCGTTCTGCTCGGCACTATTTTTCTTCTGCTTTGTCATACGTATCCTCATTACAGCTTGCTGATGAGGACTGGTAATGGGATGAGTTACCTGGGATCAGGCGTGGTACAATAGTCAGCTAATCGCCAGTTGCCAGGCAGAGCCATTGCTCATGGAAATGTGTTTTCTTGCTGCTTTCGGGCAGCTCGTGTGAATAACGTGAGACGAGCGCGAGTGCTGTCTGAGGAACAGCCTTGCAGGCGGGACGGCCTCTGCCGCAGTGCCCCCTCTCCCAGCGGGGCAGCAGCAGCTCAGTGCAGCGAGGTGGGCAGAGGCTGCGCTCAGGAAACTCCTCTGAACAGGCACCATCGCTGGTGGCAGCGGGCAGCTCCTGGTGCTACAGTAGGCTGCAGGGCACCGGTTGCGAACCATTAACCTGCACTCGTGCAGTGAGCGAAAATGCTTTGTCTCATTTCAGGATGCAGAAAAGGAGGGAGGGACATGAGCTCCTTCAGCAAGGCACAGGATTAAATCTTGGGTTTGTTCACATTTGGACAATCTGCTCTTGCTTTAACTAAACTGTGGCTTCTTGGATCAGGAACTGAAACACTGCATGTAAACAACATCGACACTTCAAGACGCTGACCTTCACCACTCCTTGTGATTTTCAGGTGCTTGCGGAATTGTGGAAGGGAGAAGGGAAGACTCCTCTTGAAATTGTTAAAGAAAAGAAACTTGAAGTGATACAGGATCAAAAAGAGCTTGAACAGATCTGCCAGGCGGTGATTGATGGACGAGAAAATGAGGTGATTATGATGGTGCTGGGAAGCCTGTGCACTATCGCAGTCTGTGGCACTAAAAAGGGGGTTGAAATGGCGGGGTTTTTTTTTCCCCTTCTCCTTTCAATTGGCATTTGAGCTCTAGAGCCAGGATAGGAGCATTAAAACTGCTGCTCAGAAAATATCGGGCTTTTCTTATTTTACTGTTTGTTTTTTTTTAAATTGAAGCATACACAAAATGATCAGCAGAAGAAATTACCAGTCTGGCTAATGCGCTAAGTCATTCTGAGACATCATAAAAATTTAATGCAGGAAAGCAAAACTGTGGGGCTCTTTCCCTCTTCAGCTGTACTGCCATTAACCTGACCTGGCCACCCGGCCACAAAACTCTGTTTTTTGTCATCTGTTGTGATATTAGGGCAACACTGTTCAACTGCTCTCAAGCTGGAGACTGAAGCTACCTCCAGTAAGGCATATATTAGTTACGGAATTAGGGACTGTATCAGAGGTTGGCAAAGCAAAAACGTTACTTGCATCTGTCTCTTTGCCATGTCCCTGTCTCCCTCCACTGCCAGAGAGAGGAGTCGAGCTGGATCTCCTGCCTGACAACAGCTGTGGGGCGGGTGGGGAGGAGCCGGACCCCGCTGTGGGAGCAGCATTGGTGACTCCAGAGCTGCTGTTCTGCTGCTGGGCTGTGGCAGCAGCACAAATGCTGCAGTAGGAAAGATGGAGTTTTGGCTCTTTCCCATCTCCTTGGAAGGACGTGCAGTTGCCTCTGTGGCTCATCGGTCTAACAAGGTCTGAGCCAGGAAAAAGGGGGGAAAAAAAACCCTTGATGATGAAGGGGAGGAGTGGGAAGGGATCTTGACAGAGTCTAAAATCTGCTTTATAAAAAGCAAAATGAAAACAAGTGCTTATGTGTTCTCCGGAGTGAAAATGTAAAAGCAGAAGCGAATAGCTTACTTTTAATATAAACATTGTCTAGATACATTTGCCATTTGGAAAAAAACATTAACATCTTTTGAGAACAATACCACCCACCCCAGGTCTCACTGGGGGATGCTAACAGCTCTGCAAGAGCTTTTGATAAAGAAAATGAGCTTGCAGTAGGTCGGCGTGACCTCCATCAGACTGACTCATTTGCAGAGCCTGATAAAAGTGCTGCTGCATTTTCAGACTGGTACGGAGCACAAGTGCGGATAGAAAGAACATTAGAACTGATTGGGAAGTCCGGAAGCTGAAGGACCATAACTACACTGCCATTTCAATAATAACACTTTCTCTGAGAACGTAATTCCTCTCTGTTTTCTGCTGGTTTAGTCAAGCCAAATGCAGCCGAATGGCCTCGCTTCCCTACTTTTTCCAGGTGATCTTTCGCCAAGGCAAAAGCTGCCTTGAAGGCCTGTAATTCACTGCTTTAAATTGCTGCGAGAGCTTACCTTACCAAATGGAGTTAGCCGAGTCCTTGACAAGGAGGGAGGAAAAAAGCATGCCTTGCTTTTGGTAGGAACTTTCTTTGAAATGAACTAACTTGCAAACAGTTGCTCCAGCCAACACGGAGCACTTCACGAAGAATGCAGGGTCGGGGTGGTACTGCACTCTGTTTTTAGCAGATCAGGAGTAATGAGTCCTTTCCATATTGTGACATTACAGGGAAGGTTTTAGACTGCCAATAACTCGGATACTGTAACGAGCAGCAGTATTCGCGTTTGTGCGTGGTATTGGCACAGTGGGTGGTTCACGTGTTCGCAACCCTTCCCGTAATATCTGTAAATATGACATCCTGTTTAAATGAAGCTATCGTGTTTCGCCCAGTAACTCCGACAATGCAGGGAATGTCTTCCCTGCCACACAAACAACATGAAGGCCAGACACTTGTCTTCCAGCAGCAGCATCTCCTTTAGAAATGCCCGAAAGTTCCAGTCCTTTTTTCAGTGTCTTTACTTACCTTTAAATACGGCCCTTGGTGTTTTGCAGGTGATTGTGCATCAAGCACTAGCTGTCTGGTAGGAGGTCGCATGGCGGATCAGTTAATTGCTGTGTTGCAAAGGATTCCCTTGCTTAAAGGAAATAATACGCTGTTACAAAGGCACCTATGTCTGTGCTTGAAGGCCCACACCGATATTATCACATAGGTTGTGATTCGGTGCAAATTACTTGTTACAACTGAACAGTATATTGAGTAAAAAGGTAGATCCTATTAGCAAAAAGAAGTCCACCTCATTCTCTGGCTCTTTTCCAGGAAGTCACCATTTGAATGGCAGACTGTTAAAATCCAAAAGTGTTTTCTGACTTGCTCAATACGAGGAGATCTTCCTATTAGTTGTAAGGCCTTGCTGCTGTAGAGACTTGCCGTTGTCTCATGGGAGCAGAGCAGGAGCTTATTGCAAAGCTGAAGGCAGTTTTTGTAAACAACATCTTATCCCAAAATACAGTATTCTACCACAACGGTCCAAAGGACAAAAATATTCATACTTTGGCTGTGAACGAGAGAAAATATCCAGGTTTACTGTAACAGTGGTGTGTGTTGCTTGTTTTTTTCTTTAAAGGTTATGGCGATAAAAGCAGGAAATCTAAAAGTTCTGAATAAGTTAATTGGCCTGGTACAAAGAGAGACACGAGGGCGATCCAACCCTGTTCTGGTGAAGCAACTGTTAGAGAAGAAGCTGTCAGAGTAGCCACAGGAGAAAACCACACAAGAGTCTACACGAAACATGTGCTTTGTTCAGTCTGGTTTGCTGCAAATGAACTTTGGTGCCTCCTCCTGTGTCATCAGGATTGTTGGTGATACTTCAAGCGGCATTACGTCCCAGCCTTCCCCGGATGTGTCAGCCAAAGGCAGATGAGCAAAGGTGATAGAGTCGTTTGCATCTCCTCTTCTGTGTGGCATTCGGAAATGTGATTTCCACACAGCCATGGGAAACAGGTTCCCAGAGGCGTCCGCGAGTACGCAGAGAGCCGAAGCTGTATTGGTTGGTTTTGTAATAAAGCGAGTGTAAACTCGGCTTTTCTAGCTGCCGTGTTGTGAGAAGGGAAATGCACAGATCTTGAATGCAAAACCTGGTAGTGCACGCTAACAACTCACTGTCAGTCAGTGGGAGCACACTCGTAACGACGACTGAACCACCTAGCAGTAATTAAGACCACGTGTGCCTCCATGCCTACCAGAAGGGGAAAAAAAATGTCCACTGCTGTCATTCTTCCTGGTTTCTGAGGGATGGGGAAAACCTGAAGTTGCTGAGTAGGTGCCCAAGGGTAGTGCCACACACAGATGTGCGTGCCTACATCTAAGAATTGGCGCCACATTGTTTGCTGGCCAGCTCCTTGTTGCGTACCCAAACACCTGCTTTGCCTGCTCACGGCGCGCTCGGGTCTGCAGGGCGCCTGGCAGATCCGGGCCTGAGCCCGTCCGAGGTCCGCATCCCGGTTTGGCCTGCCAGGCTCAGCACAGCGGACGCGCTGCTGCCCGCCCGGCACAGCCTACGGAGGAACGAGCAGCGCCGTTCTCTTACGCGGTAGCTCCGTGAAGGGACTGCCCGCTCCAGTCTGGTTCTTACTCTGCTCTCCAGAACGTGACCCTGTGTTAGAAACGCTCCGAGCCCAGGGCTGCAGGCTTCTCTGGCACGGGGCTTTCTGCTGGCACCTGGCACTGCCCCACTTTGTGGGAGGAACAGAACATGCATTTGGCTTACTGAAACTGAGCAGGATTCAGCTGGGTGCCAGGGTCTGCTCCACTATTTCATCCCAAGGAATTTTATGCCTTTTTTTTTTTTTTACCTTCCATTTTTCAGCTCCTAGTGTTGAGTACCCACTGAAATTGAGGGTCCTTGAGTTAACTTCCCAGTCCCAACCCACTTCAGTTGATCAAACCATTAACAGAAAAGGCAACTAGAGGCAGCCTACTAAGTTTACATTTATTAGGGA